GCCAATAATAATAATAACGCTTCTTTCTGAAGGGTTCTGGAACAAAGAGAAATTGTATAGTCTAACTATTGCTTTCTTGCTTTTTGTAATCAGCTTTTGCACTAGAGAAATTTCATGCAAGCTTGGGAAACGTGTACATGGATGTGATATACTGAAGGAGAGAATAAGGGAGTGTACAGGAATGATTGATGTTGTTCTTATGATGTAATGGCTCTGTTGTCTGATTTGCATTGGCTAACAAAGTTTATACAGCAATGCTACCAACTTTCTAATGCGTGGCACTTCTGGATGTGACTCTGCCAGCGTTCCAGGTTGTTGGCAACCCGGCTGCTTGATTTGATCAAATAAAGTGCTGCTTGATCAAGAAGTCTCCGCTTGGGTTGTCTGATTAGATTGATATGGTATCTCAAGTTTAAGTAAGGGACTGGGACCTTATATTTCAATATGTAAGGCACAAGAAGAAAGTCAAGGAAATGACAGGTCTACTAATGGGAGCAGATTGCAAGAAGGTGACAGGCAGAAGGGAGAAAGCAAAACCACTTCATTCCTTATTTGCATCTGTTTTTATGCAAAAGGAAGAAACAGCCCAACCTATCAAAAGCAACACCAAGGGAGATAGAACAGGTATAGAAGTCAGGGTGAGAAATTAGTAAGAGAATACCTATCCACCCTGGAGGAGTACAAATATATGGATACGTGAACAACTGGTTGTCTGTGTGGATGCCGCTTCCCGAAGTCTGTTCTGGGCCTGGACTTCCTGAAGCAGTGTCCACACATTTCTGGTGGGCCATTCTGTGTCTGGGAGGCCTCTTCCGGGCCTCCAAGGCCAAGAATGAACTTCCGGAAGTGGTGTCCATGCATTTCTAAAGGGCCATTCTGGGTCTTGTGAAAAAGAGCCAGGGGTTCAGTGGGTGCCATCCAGTGATGAGATTCAACCAGTTCACCGAATTCAAGAAAAAAACAGCTACCGGTTCTGCCAAACCAGTGCAAACCAGCTGAATCCCACCACTGGCTATAGTTTATATCCCTGTGTTTTGAAGAAGCTGGCAGATGTAATTTCAGAGGCACAGAATGTAACACAGGGAAAATATCAGAGGATTGGTAAAGAACCGGCATGGTTCCAATCT